CCTCTTCCTATTCCTCAATTAACCACACTGTCCTCCTTCCACTATAAAGAAACTTCAAAAGAAAAACACATGGCTTAAATGTTACTGTTGTCAGATTGGACCAGTTAGCTTTTAGGCGTATTTTTAAAAAGTTTTAAAAAATTGGCCTTAGCAATTGCAGCAATTCCTCTTCTTTTCCTTTTATAAAAACAGAGTGAACGTTTTTTCGTTTCAAACTTACTGCGACACTATAGTGATGGTGACTCTGACTAGGGACAAGCTTGTCTGAGTTGTTGTACAAATCCGATGGAAGTAATTCACACAGAACTTTGCCATTCATATCATGAAATGCAGCCAGGTTAAACGAAAAACACGACGGAAGGTTGACACAAGCAAATCCACACTCGCTGCCCTTTCCAACATAATCCGAGGCAATAGTAGTGATGTTGAGGTAGGAAAACTTGTGTGTCTTAAAGTTGGCATAAGGTATTCCTTCACCTGTGCCTCGGCTTAGAGGTTTACCTCGCATATCGACGACTTTTGTTTCTAGAAATGAAGAAGGGAATGATAAATGATAAGTTAAAAGTATTGTACTCATGGACGATATTTAATCAGGAGTCAGTCTAAAACGCTTTACGTACCATGAGAAGCCTGCGCTAGAACAACTAGTATTTTTATTAGTAAATGGAAATAGTTCCTTGTAAGTTCAAGGAGTCCAAACTACATTTCGAGGACGAAGTTATATGCTATCTTCACCAGGCCACCGAAATCTGATCAGTTCCCCGGCATTTGAATCAAGCAATTTTATAGCAAATTGAAAGGAACTTGACAAAGTGTAAAACGATATGGTAAAATTCTAAGGCCTGATTATTAAATGTGTTTGGTAACAGATCACATATCAATTGAAAACCTGCAGTAAATTTATGTAAACCTAGACTGAAATTTGCCTATATCATTTAATTAGCATATACAGGAAGCCTACTCCTGTTTAAAACTTTGAATTATTGATCCGTAAGAAGTATATTGATATTTTTTCCTTTCCCATATTTTTGTAAGATTTCAAATTCAATATCTTATATCTAAGACAGCCGAATTACATCACACCAAGCCTGTTTTTCTCCGCTATCTTGCATTCGTAAACTGGCAACATCTAACATCAGAGGTGACTTACGAAAATCAACCGGTTAAAGCTGGCAAGTTTCCACGAAAAGATATTTCTTATACTCTTTATGAGAACAATAACAAAGAGAAAATTCAGCAAAGGGATCGATGAAACAAATTTATCGTCATGAATTCTTCAACATTATGACGGCGTGTTCTTAAGATACCCCTCACTTAATTTTCAGTATACGTTGACTTCCTTCAAACTTACTGTCTCTTTTTCGAAACAAAGCAGTTGCAGCACTTTTCAAGAATATGCCACTTTGAAACAGATGCATGAATAATCAAAACCTCATACTCCTCTACTTATTTCCCCTCTCTTTCTTTCTCCTCTCATATCTTACCATTATCCTCAGAAAAATTTTTTATATCATTGCTCTTTCCCCAAAGTTCAGTGTTAATCATATTGTAAGAGAACTCAGCAGTATTTTGATCAACAGTGAATGGATGAGTGTCTTAGCAACAAATTCAAACACTCCATCGAAGACACAGGCTTAAACGTTTTTCGCAATCTGGTATTCCCGAGGAAAAAAATGATCTTCATTGCTTTCTGAAGTAGGTGAAAGGGAATGCCATGGTGATACAAAGGAGATGACAGCTTTCAGCATAACATTACCAAAAATGAACTGAAAGTATAGTTAATCTGAAAGCTTTAAATGCTATTCCAGCAAAAATATCCAGTTTACGATACAGCTAAAAACATGATAATAAGGTCATCACCTTCGTCTGCAACAGCCCGGCAATGAAACCATGTGAACAAAAGAACAGACGCAAAACTAAAGGAAAGCACCCTGAAAGTGAGGCCCTGTCCTTTCAGATGCATCACATAGACTGAAATATGTACAGCGACAGACTATTCGAACACTGCTGACGATTTTAGTATGATGCGCGTCTGGACATCAAGAATTTGGGTCCTAATTCAACGACCACTGCCCTCATTTCTGCGACGCAAAGCAATGAATTTTTAATGTCATTTGGCATTTTTAGCATGATAAATCATTTATAGCGTGATTGTCTATGCCTCTCAGGATAGATCAGTTTTGAAAGGTGATTCTTTGGCATATGGGTTTTTTTCCCCCGAGAAACATTCAGGCTCAATTCCGAACATATTTCATGTTGATTTTCTGATTTCTCTTCTTCCAAATAACAAGTTCTAGAGGTAGTTAACGCCAAAAACTAGTACATTTACTCGTTGTTTTCTAAAATCATTTTAGAAAACGACGATATTAAACATAATATGTATAATATATTATTAAATCAATGATTTTACCCGTTTATAACAATGGAACGAGGCAAGGCGTTCTTCTTCTTAAATGAAATTAAAACAGGCTCATCTATCGGCAGAAAATGCTATAGAGACGTAGCATTGTGCGTTTCGTTGTTAATATCCGATGTTTTATATATGTTATTATAAAACAAACAGATGAGGAGCAGTATTGGACCAGCAGGTATCAATCTAACTTTTACTATGTTTAAAATGCAAATGTTTCCTGTTTTGTTGTCTCTTTATCCTAAAGCCTTGTCGCGTGGACACTCATGATCTAGTAGTTTTGCATACCGGAACCGAAATTTTTAATTGAAAAGAAATTATTTTCAAAAGCATGAGCCGTTGACATGTCTAAAATGGGAAACTCTTGTTTCAGACGTTGAGAAATTCCTCGCCATGAGGATCCCACTGAATGAACTCTGATACATTGTCTACTACATTCAAACAACCGTTAAAAAAGGTACAAATATTATGATTGTGAGAGCGGAAAATCATTTTAACTAATCCATAAGTTCAAAGCAGTGCGATTTGACTGCAAAGAAAGTCATTTTAGCTAACCTACGAGACGCAAACTCAACATTTACTGACCATTGAAAATGCTCATTGATTAGCCCACGGACGTACTCCCTTCCGCCCTTGGTTTTTTTTTGGCAAATTTATTCAAGAAGATTGCTTATTTTGCTGTGAACTTGGTGAAAATTATATGATAGACATGGGAGAGATATTTTATTAATGACAAGTGAGGTGTGGTTTAAGGGTCGATATAACTATGAAAGAATTAACGGTTTTAATTTTCGAAGTGAAACAGTAAACCCTTAGTCTTATTTTCATTTTCCTTTCAAGTTCGATAACTACTGTTCTTTTGAAAAACCAACAATTATAGTGAAACAAGGAAAGAAAAATCTAAAAAAGACTGCCACGTCGGATGACGTCACCGAATCCCAACAGCGCAATTTGCATATGTATCCTATGATATTAACCACATCTCGTAGACGGAGGCTATCTATTTAAGGTAAAAACCTTCTGAAATTTTTGTAATGTAAATAAAACACAAGGGAGAGTTCCAACCAATCCCTCCCTTCCCCCCTTGTACTCCAGAGGAGATATAAGTTTTCATGTACGTATGATAATGAAACTTAGATAAAAAGGTGACAAGAAGTGAGCATCATCCTTTTCAACGTTCTTCAGTTCTAAACTGAGCTGGGAAAAGAGAGATCTTATAATTTTTGACGGAACCATAAGTTCAACGAGTAGGACTGGGATGGACGGGTACTTGACATGGCATCATAACAAAAGTCATACTCAGCTTGACCACCACCTTCAACTAAAAAAGCAGCGGCAGCTTCTGTGATCCCAATCCGATGATCTGCACGTGTCCGCCATACTGAACCGTACAACTTCACAGACACTGATTACTGGCCCAAACCTTGAAATCTCTAAAATCCCCACAATTTGTGATCTTAGATCGGAATGTTTGGCCAACCAAACAGTTACCTGTGGTCCGTAACAGAGGGGTGTGGATGGGGTTGTCACTACGCATGATCTTAAATTCGTTTCCTCTGACCAACCGAAAGGCAGGTGATATCATATCAGCGTTTACTCATGGGTCATTTCTTTTTCCATTGGCAGCTTGTTGGTCATACCACCATCTACTATCGTCGCGCATCCAACTCTTGCCATCGCTGTTTGAGAATCAAGCGATAAGAGTCCATCCTTTAAGACTTGCCGGGATATCACAATAGACCTAGTAAGACATTGCAAATATATTACAATCCAAAGCAGGGCATTTATTATTTTGGTTATAAGTTGGTGAGGATTTGATAGCATCCCTTGATAGATATGAAGTACTCTAACAGCTTTAAAACCATACGATAAAGAATTCGAATAGTCACCGGGAGGCTTAACTCTTAACTCTCTCACTGGGATAGGAGTGGTGAGAGTGAAAGTTAGAAGGCACCTCGCCACATCAAGAAAAGTTTTTCTCTCACTAAGAGTCTCTCTTTTATTCAAATATGTAATTTTTTAATTGCTATCTCGAATGTATTTTTGACAGGAAGCTGTAAATAGGCGCGATCGATTGAAAAATGCGTGCTTCCTCGCTGGTATGTCCCATGAAATGTTCTCTATGAAGTCATTGGTGATGCTAAGATAGCAACTATTAAGCTTTTTTTTATTTTTATTGGAGTTTAGACTGTCAGTAAGGCTGAAAGAAAAGTCGAACTACATTTAACCCTTTATTTCACTGAAAAAAAGCTCCCGTCCGGAGGGGAAAAAAAGGAACGCAAATAGAAAAAAAAATCAACAACAGCTAAAACAAACAAACAAAAAAAGAAAACCAAACGAAGCAAAGCCAAACAACAAAACAAGCCAAGAACAGAAAAAGGAACAAAAATTGGTTTTTCTTTGAGGTCGTCTCTAAAGCAATAATTTATATTTATTCTGAAAGAGAAATAAGGGGTCTACGCTTACATTATATCGTAAATTGCCAGCTAAAAGCTCGAAGCTTCCGGGATGTCTCTCCATATTTTTCTTTAAAACTTCTTCACAAGAATTTACTGATTCGATAATTATGAAACAGAAATTATGTCTATTGCGTTAATGCAAATGTAAGGGACGTTGAGTACAACTCACTCCCTCATTATTGATAATGCCTCTATAAAACAGGTTTGTTATTAGATCTCTACGGTTAGATGAGAAAGAGAAGTTGGCCTTCTTGCATCGTCATCTTTTCGACGAGAATTTGCCCTTACGCTGTATTTGTAAAGCTTTCATCTTTTCACTACGCCATCGAAAAATTATTATTGTGGTACTGTGGTATTGTTTGGAGGAAATTGAAACAAATGCCTTGCATATTACCTGCATAAACTTCAAAATTGCGGCCATGGTCTATAATCTCTGATTGGCCCTGCCCCCAGTCTTTGTACGGTTACTTAGCGAAATGAAATCTCTAATCATTCTGTGGGGAACCTGAGGGCAAATTAGCTGCTCTAGTGTCCCGTGAACATTTTTTCAAAAACTGCCTCATTTTTTAGAGGTTCAGTGTTGTGGAATAGTCTTCCTGTTAGGCAGCGGCAAGCATAAACTCTCTACTCCTTAAATTCAGCTGCAGCAACTTCGTGGGAGAAAATCTACAATCTCTTTTATGCACGGCATTCATGGAAATCAGGGAACTTTTAGATATTAACTGTAATTCTTAGGAATGTTAGCATTTGTTCTAGCTACAGTTTGTTGAAGATTGTGAGCTAGATTTTGACTATTTTATCAATCCTGAATTTATACCATGGACTAAATAAAGTCATTGTATTTCTTTTTATGTCCTTTGGGGATATTTGTATCCCAATGTTCATCAGTTTTGCGCAAAAGGAAAAAGAAGAAAAGGAGGAACTTGTAATTCCTAACGGATCCACAAATTCAACGAGTAGGACTGGGTTGGAGCGTTGCTGGTCTGAGCATTATAACCAAAGTCATATTCAGTGTCACCGCCTCTCAGGTCAACAAAAGAAGCTTCGTTAGTTTCTGTGATCCCAATCCCGTGATCTGCACGTGAACAGCTTTCTCCTCCTCCACCAATCATCATCACTGATCCATCACCCTCATCCCAGTCACACCAGAAGCCGATCTTCTTAGCGCTTTGGATGTCTCCACCGCACTCAGCCTGTTGAAACCCGTCTGTTGACTTGTACTGTCCACCATATTGAACCGTACAACTACCCAGACACTGATCGTTGGCCCAGACCGTGCCATTTCTAAAGTCGCCATAACTTGTGATTTTAGATCGGAATGTTTGTCCACCCAAACAGTCACCTGTGGTCTGTAACAGAGGGGCGTGGCTGGGGTCGTCACTGCGCGTGATCTTAAATTCGCTTCCTCTGACCAACCAAAAGGCAGGTGATATCATATCAGCGTTCACGGATGGGTCATTTGTTGTTCCATTGGCAGCTTGTTGGTCAAACCACCATCTACCATCGTCACGCATCCAATTCTTGCCATCGCTGTTTGAGAATCGAGCGATAAGAGTCCATCCTTCAGGACTTGCTGTGATATCACAATAAACCTAAAAGTACATTACAAATAGATAAAAACCAAAGGAGGACAGTGATCATTTTGGTTATACGTTGGCGAGGATTTGATAGCATCCCTTGGAAAAGCACTTCTTCACATTAGGAAAGGTTTTTCTCTTACTAAGTCTCTCCTTAATTCAACTATGTAATTTTTTAAATTGCCATCTTGACTGCATTTTTGACTGGAAGCTGTAAATAGGCGCGACCCATTGAAAAATACGTGCTTCCTTGCTGGTATGTCCCACGAAATGTTCTCGACGGAAAAATATTTTATAATCTATGGAGTCGTTGAGTTGTGCGACTATTAAAGCTTTTCTATTGGAGTTTAGACTGTCAGTAAGGCTGAAAGAAAGGTCGAACTACACTTAACACTTAATTTCGCAAAAAAAGACCTCCCGTCCGTAGAGGGAAAAAGAGAAGAGCACAAACAGAAAAAAATCAACAACAGCGAAAAAGAAAACAAAACAAAAGCAAAAAAACAAACAAACAAACAAACCAAGAAAAGAAAAAGCAACAAAAATTGTTTTCTCTAGGAGATAGTAACTAAAGCAACGATTCATATTTATTCTGGAAGAGAAACGAGGGGTCTACACTTACATTGTATCGCAAATTGCCCGCTAAAAGCTCGAAGCTTGCGGGACGTTTCTCCATATTTTTCTTTAAAACTTCTTCACAAGAATTAACTGAAAATTGATAAAAAACAGGTATGAATACTGCATAAAAAATGAAGGAAATAGTTACGAATGATATTGTTGTGGTTCTCAGTCTAGAACAAGAGGCGTAAGAACACACAAGAACAAGAAAGCATACATAACAGAACTAAACTAAGGAAAAACTAAATCACACCAACAGTGTATAATTATTGGATGCTCATTTTTGTATACAGTGGCCTAGGTACTAGTGATGAGATAACCCCTGGCCGGAATCTGAGCGATATCGAGACACATGTTTTCAACTTAGTATTTTTCACATTTCGACGAAGATACCGGCTAGTTACTCATGGGATAGGCCAGGAACTAGGGCATGTAGTTTGTTTGTTTGTTTACTGGTGCTATTGACCCACCTAGTTATCATAAGCATTACTTTGAGTCTCTCATGGGCAAGATATCGTCGGAGACCACGACAATCACAAACTTGTCCCCGGTCAGTTTTAACGCCGCACCTTCTTTGATTTTTCAAAAGAATGCTTCAAGATGCTTAACCATGCAATAGTTTTTTCTATGTTTGAAATTCTGGACAGTTGAGATCAATTTAAGTGGACTACTGCTGTTGTTGTCAAGACAGAATTGGTCTCTCAGATTGGTATGAGATGAGTGTTTGGTAGCTGGAATAATAGCATATCATATTATTGATCAAAAGGCACCTTTTCTTTTGACGACTACTGACGTTGTTGTTTCTGCCAGTCCGATGCGATTTCTTGCGCGGCAGACATATTTCCCGTGACTGTTGAACTCAACAGTGTTGAGTTCGAGGCAGCCTTGTTCCTGGAAATCCAATGATGTATCAGCGGAGTGCACGTTACCAGCGCGTGACCATTCGACTCTGGGAGGAGGAGAGCCCATAGCCTCACAACAGAGACTTAAAACGGAGCCTTCATCTACGATGACCAAAGATGGTAGTTTCTTGACAAATGTTGGTGGCTCTGAAGGTAGAATAAAATCGAATAAAAAACCGACATGTAATAAACACCATCATGTGATCAATAGAAACTGTCAGCAACGTACAGCTACTTTTGGTCACATTGGAGAAAAGTTTTTAGCGTTGCAAATAGCGAGAACATACAACTGAAACCTCTCATACTTTTTTAACATTATCAAGCGGACATAAATTCCCCCAACGTAATAGGCATTAAAGGAGCTAAATTGCTATTTAAACACGCTCAATGTCGCCGGCTCACTGTGGAAAGACAAAAATGTGTATTTCATTTACAAGTGACTGTCTACACTGGTGTTAGAGATACACATCATAAAAAATCAGAAAAATGAGGGGCTGATATTCATACCTTTTACTTGTAAAGTGCTGAAACCCCTTAAACTTCCGAGACCAGTGTTAGCTGAACACATATACGACCCCACATGTGACCTTTGTACGCTGTTGATTCGAAGCGCTCCATTTTCCACGGTAACATCAGATAGAGTACCTCCAAGCTTACGCCATGTTATTTTGGAAGACGTGTGGCCTTGAACCCAACAGAAGAATATTGCTGTCTCGTTGATAAAGACTTCATGAGTTACTGGATACACACTGATCTTCGGTGGAACAGCACATTCTCCCTTGGGTCCCTGAATACCAACCAATCCTCTGATGCCTTTGTTCCCTTTTAAACCAAGAGATCCTTTTTGTCCTTGACGACCCTTCGTTCCAGTCTCTCCTCTAATTCCAGGAGCTCCAACGGACCCTTTGTCCCCTTTTTCACCATTTACTCCTGGAGGTCCTACATGTCCCCTTTTGCCACCCACGCCTGGAGTCCCAATAGGCCCCGATGGGCCTGGTGGTCCTTCCTTTCCAGAGGCCCCTTTTTCTCCCTTATATCCGGGATACCCAAGGGCTCCTGGCGGTCCCGGGGGTCCTGCCTGGCATATTCTGTCTGAGGATTTACAAACTTCACTGAACTTGTTATTTATTTCTTTGCGGATTTGTTGTAAAGTTACAGTTACTGCCGTTGGACTTAGAGCAGCATTCCTTTTCTGTCTTTGATGGTGATCCACATTTTGCGTTTCCACACCGCTTTCAAAGTCTGTACGTTACACATGCAAAAAATATTAACCATTTATATTTTAACATCAGTATGCATATTCTCCATACGATTACTATGATGGCGACATGGAGAATTCGTTGAACAATCCAGAAGTTCTTTATTTGGTATGTATTTCCTCTGTTCTCATGACCGTGATGCTTGATTCAGGTGAACTTAGATGCTAGTCCCTTTTAAAAACGATTACATTTGTCCATGCAGGAGCCTGTTATACTTTGCTAAACTCAGTTCTACGTTTAGACTTATCCCACTTAGTGTCTACAAACGGTTGAATCGATTACGAAGTGCGGATCTGTTACGACGTTCGATATGGAATATCTCTTTATTAGGCATGAAACGAACTTGGTTTCGTGTCTTAAGCACTATGTCATACATTTTCTGAGCGCAGTAGCTGATAACCTCAGAGAGGGCACCATACGATAAAATATGAACTGGACCGTTGGACGCTTAGACCATTGGCCTACTTTTTGGACTATTTTTTTAGACCATTTTTTTAACCATTTTATGGACCTTATTTTTTAAACTGATTTTTAAACCACTTTTTTCTTGGACCATTTTATCGGAAGGTAGTAGACCATTTTTACTTAGGGAGGGGTGGGATGCAGTCTATCAATACCTAGGGAGGGGTCAAGGCAGACTGTTGTTACTGAGGGAGGGGTGAAAGACGAACTATTTGTACGCAGGGAGGGATGGAAGATTTAGTGGAAATCACATATATTATTCCAAAGAGTAAGAAAAAGGTTTGCAAGGAGAATAAGACGAATGTCGCAAAATCTAGACTTAAATTTACAAATAACAAACTTTTGCAGTACACTTCCTACTGATAAACTTAAGAACGCAATTCTATAGAGAGAATGAAACTATTAAATTTGAGTGTGTAATAATCTGCTCATTATCAAGCAGTTCACAAAATTTGCGAACTTGGGGTGCCTTTTAGAATAAATGTTATCGATATAATACCCATGCCGTTCATGCAAAACTACCGTCGTGGACACATTGATCGATGATCGGGGGTGGAAGCTGAATAATCAATAATGATAACGGGTGTAAGTTCAAAGTAAACAATGAATAATTGGGTTTGGAAACCTCGGAATAATAAATAACGTAGTCATGCCAATGGAATAATAAATACCGTTTTTTAATTCGATTGTCTTGGTTATGTATTTTCTGATATATCTTCACAAGCTTTTTTTAAAGTGAAATCAATGATGTGCAAAATAAAACTACAAGAGACGCAAAAGGTCTCCCGGCGAAACTTCCGACCGGAAGTGTTTCGAGTTATAGGACAACTTCACAGCTTGACAGCTTGACAGCTTGACAGGTTTTCTGTCAGATGTCCTCTTATGGTAGCATTTGACGTTTGACTCGCGTGGAAGTTGTTTTGTGGTCAGCCTGCTTGGTAGTTATCTTTGTCGAGGTCGTGTCTGGTCGACTTTTGTAAGGGTGATAGTGGGTAAAAGCAAGAAAGAGAAAAAAAGAAGTCGCGATCAACGGTAAGGCAATTTATATCTATTTTGGTTTGTTTCAAACATGCGCCGATTTCAAGTCTATTCGAAGCGAAGCTATCTTTTTTATGCTTTGGATATGATAAACATCTTTCCCTCAGCGAACTTTCCTGGTCACCTGAAAGACGGCGCCGTTCAAGGCGGTCAACCAGCAGGTCAACGTCAAACAGATTTTGAGATCGATTTGTAATACGATGATGACGATAATGAATAGTCAGTCAGATCGATTATGATCGAGTAGTAAAGGAAATTTGGAGAAATTGATTTTTAAGGATGTTGTTTCTTAAATTAGCTCCAAAAGTTTAGGGTAACTTATTTGGAGACGACTTTAATTTTGTGTTGTCCTTTCCAAAATCTCGCACATCCCTACTGGGAATAGACAGCCAACCGACTTGACCTTTCGCCTGTGCTTTATCATATCGATTCGATGTCTTGTTCTTAATAACAACTAAATCTCCACTTGTTGAGTCAAAGTTTGGTACTAAGTTTCCCAAGCTTCATGATTTCAACATGGTTTACAAAGATCGCTTTTTTTCCCCTTCAATAATAAGTCGATCGCTGCCGGTGCAGCAGCTTACCTCATTTATTCCAAACGTCACCTACTCTTTCTGTTTTCTCAGGATTGGTGTGCGAGCGAAAGGTGAGCCGCCTGATAGCGCAAAAAAAGGCTCTTATGTTCGGCTCGTTTACACTTTGCTGAAAGGAAACGAAAAAGACCGTTACTCGGGCTGAGGTTTTGGCAGAGCGATAAAGATAGCATGCTCATTTTTGCAAAAAAAATTATGTCCGCACAAAAGTTGCCTTTGTTATTTTTGCACTGAAATGATTAACCTCGGCAGTGGTAATGAAAATATTTTAAGCTACTAACAGGCCAAATCAGTTTGGAAAAACAAAGAAAAAATCAAGTTTTTGGATCTAAAATGGGGTCCGCTTCACGAAGTGAGGATTACGATAATATAATACAACTACTCCATTCTGAGAACCACTGTCTGTGTTCCATGTTGTCCATAACGATTCTCGGAATCAATAAGGATCGCGATCACCATTTTATGTCTCAAAAAAGGAATCGCTTTGATAATCAAGTTTTGGCCATCGTCGTTATGCCATATCGTTTTCCTTACAAGAACGCGAGCCTTCTTCCAATGTTGAAACAATCGCTTTGATGGAGGGCCAAAATGACGCACAAAAGCAAGACCGAGAGCTGTCTTTTAATCAATCGTTACTGCAATGTGGGGCCTATTTGAAGTCAGAGGAAGTGATCGCTGTAAAGCAAAACCTTAGAAGAGAACAGTGGGGGTTTTTCCTTGCCCTTTCTATGAGGCTTACCGAGACGATAGGAACTCACCGTACACCATTATAAACCGTGTGTGTATTGACGAGATCATTACCGATTCCTCTGGATTGAGATCTTATAAGCTCCCTCAATAGGAAGCGGATAGAATTGAACGATTGTTGAAAAGTGGCGATGACAGTGACATTGACTGACGATGAACGCGTCAAAAATGAAGAAGTGGCCGATGAGGATTCGCCTGATGAACCTCCTAAACGTGTGTTTGTCAGCACCAGGTCGAGACGTTCAGCAACACGCTTACAGCTGTTTTAATTTTATAACCAGACATCTTGAGGACACTCAACATTGACACTAAACACTAGACCGACTACCATTGGTCTAGTGTTTGTTAAGTTTATCTTCGATAACAGTCAGCTTTGATCTTTTCCTATTTTTAACACCCGTGCCTTTTTTCAGTTTCCGGCTTTTGCCTTTTTTTCTGACGTTCTTTTGACGTTTTGAGCTGTTGTTGAAATGTTTCAGTTGATTTTTTCACCTGCTCGTGACTGTTACATTACTTCGAATTGCGTGACTTAGCCCATTTTACCTGTCAAGATAGTTATCATAGTTATATTTTTGTCGTCTTTTGACAGATTTCGCAATCTACATGCTTACAGGTCTGGACTCGACTCAAGTTTGCAAAAACAGCCACTGACATTGCATTTGGAGCTACGTAGTTCCATCAAGAATATCAGAAAGAGAAAATTTATTTGATATCTTGTAATGAACAGTTTTGCATTAACTTTAGTATCATCTTGAAGCAGTCGGAAGGGCTCTAAACGAGAGAACACAAACACAGGCATTATGCTTGTTAATAGAGATAAGTCTTTTATTTTTTACCTACAAAGTCCCACTTCATCTTGTAAAAGCTCCATACAGATGTTTTTTTATCTTTTGCCTATTTTGTGGTTTTTCCAAACTTCATTCAGAGTATGTTTGTATAGATTTGTCACCAAGAACTGGAGAAAGAAAGGTATGTGCGACGATGGAGTTGCTTGCGGAAGAAACTAGTTGCCGTTAAAGCGAAAAATACATCGTGATAATAATAACCATAGCACCGGAAAAAACAACACCAGCTTAGTTTGATAAAAAGGTCGCCGTGTTTAGCACGGTGTGGCAGTAGCGTGTAGCATGGTGCGACAGTGTGATACTTTTAATCATATGTATAATCATGAATTAAACCTGAAATCGAGTCTAACAAGGAAAAATCTTGCCTACGTTCAAGGAATAGGGAAGAATGAATACCAAACAAAATTTAAAAAGAGTAATTAATAATTCGAAAAAAAACACGATGAATAATGAATAATTAAGGTCCCATTATTCAGCTTCCACCCCTGGTCGATGAAGAATTGTATGTGTATCCATGCTAAGCTTCCATCCAGGTAGGCGCCAATAGTCATTGTGAGATCACAAAAACATGGAAAGAAATGACTCAGAATAGCATTTAGTGTTTCTCATTAAGTACAAAGATTGCGTTCTTCGAATCTCTGTTGTGAATTACTGTATTGCTAAGATGAAACCAAATCTCTCCAAATTACTGGAGGCAATGAAACCGAATTTCTTAAAGCAAATTATCATCGATTTGCAAGTAGAAGTTTACCTACCCTTTGACGGTTTCCCCTCGTTACCTGCTCTTTTCATCAGAACGGCGATCTTAAGGTGACTTTCAACATCTGAAATGCGAAGTTCGTTCATCTTCGTTTTCCTGTTTATTGTTTCCATCCTCACGAACAGCGCCACAATCAGCAGAATTGAAACGAAAGAAAGAATTGAAGAACATCTGCGAAAAGCATCGTTTGAGCATTTTGCAGAAGGTCTCTTCGTAGAGTCCATTGTAGCCTCGAGGGGATTTGTGTAAACAGCTTCCCTGATTAGCAAACTCAACTGCTGCAAGATACGAACTGTTTACCTGAGATGAAGGTTTGAGCTTCCTGTGTAACTGATATCGTAAAGAACACGTTCAGGCCAGAGATAAAGTAAACAGTTATTTAACTGATTTTTCTGTCATCTCCTCAGTAGAGTAAGAGATTAGAAGCACGACCTGTTGCCAGGATGAATCCGGTTTCCGAAATGTGTGTGGCCTCAAGGTAACTTTAATTATAATTTAGCGTTTTGGAAGAAATCTTGCATTTTCGATCACGTCAATTTGACGAGTAAGTTCTGGCCTTTAGTAATTTCGCACTGTTTATGTGTGGAATATGGTCTCGTGAAACCAATAGAAATAAAAACCAAAGACCAGGAAAATGAAGGGCCCAGTTGTATTAAGGGCGGTGAATGCTATCCAACGGATTAATCGCTACCCAGCGGATAAATGGTAGGAAAACGGAAGTGTTATCCACCGGATAAAGATTTATCCAGTCGATAGTGTCATCCAACCTTCGAACAACCGGGACCAGAAAAATAAAAATTAGAGTAAAAAGATAAAAGTAACTCTATAAGTTCGAGGTTCTCAGTATTGTTGGTCAAAGCGACACACATTTTCAAAAACATCTTTCCAATTCATCGTCCCTGCAATAAATATGATATTGTGTTCGTCTGAAAGATCACCGCTTGAGTCCATAACATAATAATCACGGCCACTGTTAATAGAATAATAAGTTCAAGGATGGTTAGTAATATACGATTTTAATATTTTGACGAGTCCACGAACATGTTTTTATTTTTTAGATTACTTTAACCCCGAGTTGGTCGTAAGAATTCTTTGATTTTTTTTTTTTTAATTTCACACTCAAAATATGCTAGCCTCGAGGAAACAGTTTCTCTCGCTCTGAATTGACTCTACCCCAGCTACGAGTTTCACAAAGGAAAGACCATGACCATCTTTCCTCACAACCAAATAATGTACGTCCACATTTGCAACCTGTGTCTCGGTGCAGTCAAGCGATATAATCAACCCATCAGTCCTGAACTGTGTACAGCTGCCCGCCTTAGAACTTCCCCCAGATCCCGATAATGTGCAACCCCATTCTTGAGACTTTGTTGATAACGTTACCCCATTACGGTCAAACCAGTCAGTGAAATGCGATCTTATCCAGCGACATATCCCCATTAGCCTATCATTAGGAAATACCCCCACGGGTAATATTCGTGACAACTGAATTGTGAAAATGCGCTCTATCCAGCGGCGCATTTCTATTATCCTATAGATAGGAGGTGCCCAAAATTAAATAAGACGCCATAATCGGAGACTGACACAGTTCTTTAGCTGTCTCGGGTCTGCACTCAATTGACGGTTTAGATTTTAGTCCTAGGCATCCCTGGATGCTCAATTGATTAATGGCGTCTATTTTCTTAAATGCTCGGTTGACACCTTCGTAGAAAAATTTAAAACTCATTTTGTAGACCATATAGGAATTTATGACATAAGTTCGACGCAACGTGCGCTGTGATTGGTCAAAAATCTATTGTATACTTGCCTGTATACCCACAGAATTCTGTCTTGTAGAATGGGGCCACACGGGGCGAATTCCCATAATTAAAGTTTGTTAAAGGCCTTTGGTTTGGAGGAAAAGAAGGGGACACTTTGAACATCAAAAAGAATGACATCTATTTTTTTCATCTAGTTATTCATTTCTTTAAGACAATTTAATTAAACATGTATCGTTCGATTGATATGAAAACGTTCAACAAATCTTGTATATTTTACATGTGATATCACTAAACAATCATCAATGAATACTTCATCTCCTTAAGAAAATGAGTTGTGAGTTTGACTTAGATTAATTCTACTAAATGTGTTTTTCGCAACTGATGGCAATTAAGTTGTTGTCAGTGAAGATCTTAAGATGTTTTAAAGATCTTGGCGTTGTGGTCGGGATAATGTTCAAGTTAATTTAGCTTTGCTATGAGGGGAAGGATGCGCTATTATTGACAATTCAAAAATTCTCAACTAACCTTAATCACAATTTGAATAATATCATCCTCTGCAAAGTTGTTCAGTTCTAAAAAAAGGTTTAAAAGATTAAAAGGCTTGGGCCCAGTTGTTTGAGGGGCGGATAATGCTATCCACCGGATAAATTGCTATCCAACGGAAAATTAATTGTTAATAAAACGTATTGCGCAGTCCAACGAATAGAGATTTGTTCAAAGGATAGCGTTATGCACCCTTTGGACAACCGGAGCCTGGCTATTTCTAACGGATCCATATGTTCAACGAATAGGACTGGGATGGAGTGGTGCTTGATATAGCATTGTAACCAAAGTCATATTCAGTTTGAATGTCATCTATTTCAACGAAAGAAACACGGCCAGTTTCTGTGATCCCAATTCCATGATCAGCACGTGCACAGCTAGTTCCTCCTCCACCAATCATCATCACTGCTCCATCACCAGTCCAGTCACACCAGAAGCCGATCTTGTTGGCGCTTTGGATTTCTCCACTGCAATTAGCCTGTTGAAACCCGTCTGTTGACTTGTACTGTCCGCCATATTGAACCGCACAACTTCCTAGACACTGATCAGTGGCCCAGACCTTGCCATTTCTAAAGTCGCCATAACTTGTGATTTTAGATCGGAATGTTTTTCCAGCCAAACAGTTACCTGTGGTCTGTAACAGAGGGGTGTGGCTGGGGTCGTCACTGCGCGTGATCTTTATTTCTCTGCCACTGACCGACCAAAAGGCTGTTGAAATCATATCGTCCATCGCAGAAGGGTTAGTTATCGCTCCAATGGCAATTTGTTGGTCAAACCACCATCTACCATCGTCACGCATCCAATTCTTGCCATCGCTGTTTGAGAATCGAGCGATAAGAGTCCAGCCTGCAGTGAAAGAACAGTTCTCATTATTTTTTTAATAATAACGTATGAACATTTTAATTTTATGTCTACGTCTTTCTGGCATATGATGGGAATATTGTAGAGGATAGCTTCGTATTCTTTTTTCTAGCCTGAAACGAACTGTGCAATAATCTCACCCTTCTTCTGTTTTTTTTTTGGTGTGGTGTTAGTAATAAGTTAACTGTAAAATCTTTATGGTGACCATAAGGGAAAGGTATTGACTGTTAGCTGTAAATTGGCCAAAATTTTCACTGTTGAAGGCCAACTTTTGAGCCAGAGGTAGTTCGATATAACTACAAGGATTTAGGAAACCGATTGCAATTTTAAGAGCATCTTTTTCTAGTTTCCTAGAGGAAAAAAAGGGGGGGGGGGCACTTTCTCGATTTTACCATATGATATCCAAAATCGGCAGAAAGTTTGAAAATGATCCTATGTTTAATTTATAAATCGTACATTTTCTGTTACTTTATCCTCTCGCTCCGTGTCAAATAATTAAGTCTTTGAAAGCTTTACATCGGAAACCAAAAACTTTCGACATGAAAATTTTGTTTTTGATCATCGAGCGCAAGCGTAATTAAAAAAGATGAAAATTTCAAAACTGGAGACAAATTAGTTATAGACTAACTGATAAACTGACTCTAAGTAGTGTGACTAACAGATTAAGAACAAATAGGGTCTACCCATACACGTTTTTCCATTTCCATAAAATCCACTTTTACAGGAACATGTGTAGGAGCCATAAGTGTTCTGGCAGTTTGCATTGATGTCACAGGGCCAGATGGAAGCACTGCACTCGTCAATATCTGAAGGAAAAATGAAATTAACTTGCATGGCAGTTAATTAGCGGGGGAATTTGGAAATGTACGATGACGACAAGAAAGCGGTAAACAGATAAGCTTTGAGTCTTTCTCTCGCATTGGAAGAGAATTACAACGTAAGTTTGAAGCAGTCTTGTAAATGCACACTAAATTGTGTCTCACCCGTTTCACAATGCACCCCTGTGTATCCTTTCGCGCAAACGCACACGTAACTGTTCTTCTCGTACTGTGCCATACATTTCCCATTGTTCTGACAAGGCCATTTGAAACATGAAGACTAAAGAAAACATATACGAAGGAAACGAGAAAGATCTGGTACCAATCATTTTATATATCATCGTGGACCGTGTTTAAAAATAGAGTCAGTAAACCTCCCCACTGAGACCCAAAATTATCTACAAGTCTTCCGCTCAAGTAAACGCTTTCCCTATTTTGCAATTAACCACACTGTCCTCCTTCCACTAAGGAGAAACTTCAAAAGAAAAACGCATGGCCTAAATGTTACCGTTGTCAGATTGGACCACTTAGCCTTTAGGCGTATTGTTAAAAAGGTAAAAAATTAAAAAAAAACCTCCACAAGAAATTAACTGCGATTCCTCTCCTTTTCTTTTCACAAAAACAGAGTAAACATTTTTTATTTCCAACTTACTGCGATACTATAGTGATGGTGACTGTGATTAGGGACAAGCTTATCCGAGTTGTTGTACAGATCCGATGGAAGTAATTCACACAGAACTTTGCCATTCATATCATGAAATGCAGCCAGGTTAAACGAAAAACACGACGGAATGT